AGCCGGTTGCCCAGCCACCGCACCAACCGTGCAGTCAAGAATAGTATAACAATAATTGTTATTTTGTTTAATAGTGGACGTCTTGTATTATGGATTAAGTTTGGTATCGCAATATATTAGAAGTCTAATGCTACCAGAATATAGGTTCGATTTCAGGTTACGTCCACATCTGGACTATGCACCGCAAATGTGCAGTTCGCGAGCCACACGCGAGCCGCTGCTGAGCTACGCGCCTGCAGTTGCCACTAAACGCGAAGGTTCATATGGCTCGCGAGCTGCACGCGATCTGCACACACTCATTTCTCCCACTTACATGATTAATTATGATACTAAAAGAGATACTAGCAATTTTGAAGTGAATTTGTAGAATCTACTAATTACAAGTTGCAAATATTATTATAGCAAAGATAACTATAAGAAAAATATTCTTATAAATAGGACTTACAAAAAGAAAGGACGTTGACTACCTAAAACAGATGTGTACGATGCACTAGTATTGTTTACAGTAAAAAAAATCGTTTATTAAACACAAAACTTCCAAAAGATGTAACAGTAGTCTAATTATTATACAATTATGGTAATATATAAATACTAAAAAATTATAAAAAAACAACTTACATTGAAATAATCAAAGATAAATTTAGGATGAGTACAATTAGGTTTTTTTTTAACTGTAGCGTCCTTACGTAAATAGCACGCGCGCTACATTCGGCTCACGAGCGGCTCGCAAGTTGCGCATTCGCCAGATGTGGACGCACCCTTAGACTTAGTACTTGATTTAGGAATACCTGAAAGTCTCAGAAATATTTAACACCAAATGTCTTCAATTATTTAGAATTCAGAATTAATTATTATTCGGCTTACTCACGTAACTGTTCGACGAAGAACTCGACTAGTTTCAAGCCTTGCTGGAGGCTCATATTCATGAGCAGCATTCCGTGATACGCGACGACGAGTTCCTCTATACTTATTATACTCTTTAGAGTTCCTCGTCAAACTGTCACGTGAGTAAACCGAAAAAGTTTTAATATAAACAGAACTCACAATATTCAAAACGGAGACCTCCATTAAGTATTCAAATTAAACCTTTTTACTCGATAGTTTTACTGCCTGAACAGCAGCTGTAGCCAAATGCCATTTAGCGCTTGTCTACTTGTAGAATAGAAAACCAAATTATATGGAATTGACGTAAATTTTGACACTTGTCAGTGTCATCCCCATACATTTTGATTTCTACTCTCTCTGTAGACAAGCGCTAAAGTGGCGTTTGGCTAAAGGCCCTGGTACTTACTAATTACTGACTAATTTATGCTTTTATCAAGACCTATGACGTCATAACGTCGGCTATTCTGTACAGTGTTGCTGCTCTTCATAAAGTGTTTATCCTTTGTGAGATAATCCGGCGCTTAGAAATTTAGTAACATCCTGTATATTCCATAATATTTAGAAGTATACCATAAAGTAAATGATGGACTTTGTAGTGTTAAAAGTAAAGCTGCAATATGTTTAGTCAACTTGTGTTTCAAAAGTAAAATAATATATAACTGCTGTTCTGCTATGAGCAAACTATGAGACTGCCTCATTGGCCGAGTGGTCGCAAGTGCGACTGCCGGGCAAGGGGTTTCGGGTTCGATTCCCTGGTCAGGCAAAATATTACTGGGTTTGTAAAAATCTCAGTAGTAGCACGAAGTCTGGAAATGTGCCCGGTATATGGCAATAGGCTCCATTTTACATGGGACTCATAACATAAATAGTGAAAAGTGGGTGTTACATTGTACAGTGGCATTAAGTGCCGTAATGTGTACCTCTGCCTACCTCTTCGGGGATAAAAGGCGTGATGTTATGTTATGTTATGTAATAATATTTCAGTTGTAAATGAATTAAAAATTAACATTTATGAACACAGAAGCTAGTCTAAAGAACGTAGCACTTAAGTACTATAAGAAACCAAGGTATTATCAAAATGTTCCCTACCCTGTCTCCAAAGCGCTTGGCTCGTGGAGTATAGCACCATTTACCTTAACAGTTCCCGTTACCATGGCAACGTGCCTATTCTATTTATAGCAGCAGTTTTCCTGCCGCCAGCAATAAATATAACAATTTCTATGAAAGCTTTCAGGTGTAATAATGCGTATTATTGTGTTTCAGTGGTTTAGTGTCAGTTTTCATTGTCGGACGATTAAGTAGTATTTTATTGTAATAGTCATTATAGGATTATAGATGACAGAATAAATATATATACGACAGCAATAATCTATGTAACCTTAAATTAAATTGCAAAAAATAATTGATATTCAATGATGAAAACTAAGAATATTATAGGTATCAACCTTATAGTGTTACAGAAATCCATTTGTGTTACTTCACGTAAAATAAGTAACTTGGTATTTGGTTCAAATCACAGTTCCATTCAGTAATATGTAGATGTTGCTACGTCGTAGCTCGAGCCTACGAGATTGCTACGACACTCGTAGCCGATTGTAGGCTTGCTACGAACGATGGTACGTAGGTCATTCTAGTTGTATCATTTTCTTTGCTTTCCACGTCAAGTGAAAAATACACACAGAGTGTGAATGACAAAATAATGTGTATGACCCAAACAGCCGATTACGTTCTAATTTAGTCATTTGCGATTTTAACCACTAGTACTTTAGGGAGAAGTAGCAATAATCAAAATATCATTTAAGCAACAGGGATTTTAAGTGACAATCCAAAATATTTATGAACGGAAAGAAAATAAAATAAATATGATAAATATAGTCTTATCTTTCACAGCCTGAAAAATACCTTTTACGAAACACTCATATTATTTTTACTTCAATAAATTGAAATGAAAAGCTAAAAAAATCTCAGTACTGTAATTTCCTCGTGGACGGAAAATCAACAAAATTGTTGATATTAAAAATAGACGCGTTGCTGTTGAGTTTTATCGATGTCTAATCATTGAGGGGCAGATTGTAAAAATAATGTTTTCCTTACAAGAATTGATGGGCGTTGGAAGAATTAGTTTATTTGTATTGCCTTGTTATTTTTAATTTAATTATAATTGACGTTTAAACAAAAATAACTTTTTAAAAATAAGCTTAATAACACACGAAGGGCCGCTGGGTACCCATAAATAGAATAGTTCACTGACGTACGACCAAACATCTGTGACTGGGCACCCCCTGCTAGTTAAAACATTATGCAGATTACAAAATTGTACAAAAGTTTGGTAATATATTTATAAAAAATAAAGCTGGTTTAAATATGATTTACTTATGGATCTCTTTTGCTTTATCTTTTTTTAGGAGGGGGATATCATCTCCCGCTCGAGTGAGGTGAGAGGGAGTGTTAAACTCTTACTGATTAACCAGAGCCCCAGTAACCCGTTAAGATCTCTGCGGCTCCGTATCGGCATCAGCCCTATTGGGCCCCATAAATGTTGGTATGATGGCTCTGTAATGATCGTACTCTCAAGATGGTATGTAAGGCTACGGTGTCTGTTTACCATTAGACAGTCCATAACCTTAATTACTACCCTTTTTTAAAATAGAAAACCATCTAATGACATCTCCCACTTTGGGTGAGGCGATAGGGAGTGTTAGACCCTTGCTGAATGAAAACTACCCTGTTCCTACTTCTGCTTAGAGTCAGAGTCCCGGTTCAAAATGTCTGGATATCCGCTATGTATTTATATTTTATTTATTTTAAGCCATGGTCGTCCCACTGCAGGGTAAAGGCCTTCTTACCCTCTTTAAGAATATAGAACACAATTTGTGTATGAATTATCTGTTAATAAGGTTATCGAGTACTAATATAAACTTGTTAAAAAACAGAAAAACCAAATAAAACCAAGACACCTAGAACAAAATTCTTAAAATAGGCCATTGAGTAAGTTTCACAGTTCCACACAATAAAACTAAATTCCACCGTCGGATTGTTCGGCGCCATTGAAGGGCGTTCGCGAGGAAACCTGACAAACTTAATGGTTTATGTAATTGTGAAAAAACATGGCGCCCACGGCCCACATTGCTAGCATTTATTTGTAAACAGAAACGTTTTCTGTGAATAAGTGAAAGTGTGAAGATATTTAGCTTTTAGATAGTTTTTTTATGTGTTTTTTATGTGTGACTGCCTCGTTAGCCGAGTGGTCGCAAGTGCGACTGCCGGGCAAGGGGTCTCGGATTTGATTCCCGGGTCGGACAAAGTATTACTGGGTTTTAAAAAATTCTCAGTAGTAGCATGGAGTCTGAAATTGTGCCCGGTATATGGCAATAGGCTCACCCCTTATTACATGGAACTTATAACATAAATAAATAGTGAAAAGTGCGTGTTACATTGTACAGTGGTATAATGTGCACCTCTGCCTACCATGTGGATAAAAGGCGTGTTATGTTTTATTTGTTACCATTACAAAAGTCAATTTATGCATTTAAAACCTTAAAAATTACATTTCCATTAGGGACTGAACATAATAATAACCTATTTGGTGTTTTGCATGAATCCTACAATTGAATATTTTAACGGTATAAGAATTTAGTATTTTTTGATGGGATTCATAATTGACGTTCATTCAATATGATAGCACGGTTGGTACGGTGGCTGGGTAACTGGCTGCCGCGCAACGTGTAGCGGGTTCGATTCGATTCCCTCACCGAGCAACTCTTTGTGTGATCTACAAATTGTTGTTTTAAGTCTGGGTGTCGTCTGTATGTGAACGTTTATGTTTGTAAACGCACCCACGACATAGGAAAAAATTCTAGTACTCTTTTTAAGTTAAACTTAGTTAATGGATGTTATGCAAGCGAAATAAGTATGTAAGGATCGTAATAGGTGGTGCTTCATATTGTCAAGGACGTCTTGGATTCCATTCGAGGCTAGGACACTGGCTACGTAATATTTATGCGGAGTTTATAACTGATTGTAAAATATATATATATATATATTCTTTATACCAATCGAATTTATCAAATAAGTGCAATCAAAGTTAAGTGTAGGAGAGCCATGCTTCGGCACGAATGGGCCGGCTCGACCGGAGTAATACCACGTCCTTACAGAAAACCGACGTGAAACAACGCTTTTACTTTTCAGGTTACCGAAGGCCCAATTACCCTCCCCTTCCCCAATCTCCCCAATTCCTGAATCCCCAACGATCCTCAAATTCCTAATCCCCAAACCCTCCATGTTGTCCATAGACGTGGTGTTCCAGGTGGCCATGGGCGACGCCGATTGCTTACCATCAGGTGATCCGTCTGCTCGTTTACCGGCCATGAAAAAAAAAGTTTAAACACTTCTTTCAATTAGTCCAGCTTCTTTTGAAATGTTTAAAAGGAATTGTTCAAAAGTCAGTTCGTCAGTGAAGCTAGTTAATCTACAATGTCAATCGCTAACGGTAAGTGACATTAAATACATAATATTAGTGTGACCTTGGTCTACTGGCGACTATTTCCTAAACACATTAATCAAAGAAAACTGCTGTGTGTTATATTATATTTCTTTGGTACCTTAATAGCTTTGAGGCAGTATTTTAATACTAGCTACTGCCAGCGGCTTCGCCCGCGTTCCCAGAGGTAACAGGTAACTTTTTTGCTACTCCACACCATATTCTACATATATTCTAAATTTCATCCCGGTCTCTTCAGCCGTTTTGGTGTGACTGGGTAACAAACATACGCATAAACACACAAATTCACATATTTTCACATTTTATAATATCGGTTCAAGCTAATTTCAACCATCGGCCCTACAGTTACAGAGTAAAGTCCATTGCGGGCAACCTAACATTCGATAAACCTATATTTAAGTATATTTGCTTTTGGTACAGTAACTGTGTGCCGAAGTGGATTGAGCTGCACAATTAAGTTTGTTTTTTGTGTATATACTTTTTCGGGATAAAAAGTAATGTAATGTGCCCAGGATATTAAAGTATAATGAAACGAAGTTACATCGTAATCGGACTGGTAGTTTTTGCGTGATGTGAGAGTATATATAGTCAGTGATACATACAGACAGACAAATATTTTTTTAATCACATTCATTTTGGGTTTCGTGACTGTCTAGTAACACCCTTTACTATTTGTTTTTTTTTTTATATTTTGAATATATACAATTTACACTTCTACAGTTTTATTATATAGATACGGGTTATGTAAACGGTGTTGATGGAATCGGACGCAGAATTTTCTTATTGTTGATAAAAGATAAGTTTACATATTTTCTACTTGTAAGCTGCGAGATTTATGCAATTTTTGGCAAACAAATATTATTTGTAATGCTTATGTATTTCAAAAACCGTTTTGTTGACTTCGCTGTATCTCCCAAGCGATATCTCCGAGCCACTTGTTGAGTACTGAGGAATATATAGTACCTCTTTTCCTCCCTATTCAAATAAAGACGTTACGCACAAGTGAGTTCCTCAGAGGGCGAGAGGGAATATCTATTTTATTTCGAGTGAGAGGTTCCGAGTCAATGACAAACGTAGTGAGCGATCGATGTCAGTACTCGGAGCCACTGGTATGTGATGAAGGAGATAGTATATTCTATGGAAACTGTGTATATGGGTATTTCTTGAGTGAATAGTGTCTCTCTACACATGTGTACCTACTTGGAGAGCTGCAGGAGATATTTCAATGAGCAAATGACGTCTAGTCTATAAGCTCGGATATTTTAATGAGGACTACACGGACCCATTTTGCAGGGTCGCGGTCGGATCCCGCACGGAACAATTGTTTGTGTGATCTACAGATTATTGCTCCGGGTCTGAGTGTCAAGTGTATGTGAACTTGTATGTTTGTAAATGAACCCGCAACACAGGAAAAATCTGAGTGCGGGCACCGTTAAAAAAAATCATAAAAGATATTAAAATTAAAGTTGAGTTGTAAATATGTCTCAGTGCAATAATACGTTCGGTGATTTTTGTAAATTAATAGGTTAACAGATGTAGTGGTTTCTTGGCACAGCAATTTAAAAATTTTTTAGATTTTTATCTTGTAATTTTTGTAGGGCTTAATATTTTTATGGCATAAGACGTCAAACGAACAGATGGATCACCTGATGATAAGCAATCGGCGTCGCCCATGGACATTCGGAACACCAGAGGCGTTAAAAGAGCGTTACCAGCCTTTAGCTCCCGTGGAACTTCTCATTCACCGGCTATTTAGGAAATAGCCTCCAGATGCATAGCCGTTGTGAATTATAGCCGGCTCCCACTTTGTGTATATTGGCTAGTAAATCAGTATTGTGATTCAGCCGCGATAACACGATGTGATTTAGGAAATTACCGCCTCGTTAGTTCTGTGGTTGTAAGACGGACTGCCGACCTTGAGGTAACGACTTCGAGTTAAGGAAATTGCTTTTAGTTCCTTATTGGTTGAGTGGTAGGTATTTTGGATTAATGGCTTCGTTAAATATGTTTTGCTACATTTATGCTATGTAAAATGTAGACTGCCCCGTTGGCGGAGTGGTCGCAAGTGCGACTGCCGGGCAAGGGGTCTCGGGTTCAATTCCCGGGTCGGGCAAAGTACTACTGGGTTTTTTTTTTATTCTCAGTTGTGCCCGGTATATGGCAATAGGCTCACCCCCTATTACATGGGACTCATGATATAAATAGTGAAAAGTGGGTGTTACATTACAGTGGCATTAAGTGCCGTAATGTACACCTTTGCCTCCCCCTTCGAGGATAAAAGGTGTAAAGTTATGTTATGTTATGTTAAAATGTAGAATTCCACTGAAGAACCAATCATTTTTAACTAACACCTAATACGAGATTTGATCTTGAAACTAGGTACTCAGTGTTGTATTTATGCCTGTTGGAGCATAAGGATAGTCGAGGCTTTTCCAATTTAGGGCCGATGTTAATTAATTAATTGTAGAATAAAATGGACATTTGACAGTATGGAAGAATTGTCAAATATTCAAAGTTATTTCAGGTTCAGGTGGGAGCAATCATTCGATGATTTTCCCCCTTTAAAAAAATCCCACCCCCTTTCACCAAGGGATAAAAAAAAAAAAAAAAACAAAAGTAATTTTATTCTTTGCCCTAAAACTTTTTACGTACCTATGGTGAAATAAATAAATCTTTCATTTTATACATCGCGCGGTGTGACCTTTGATTCCCGGGGGAAATACACAGAGTGTCGCAAACGCGGATTTTTCATTCAATACACTTTAAAACAGTATTCAAATGTGAACAGGTAAAATTCCATTTCAAAAGTGTGGCTTGAACACGTGACCAAGCAAGATTTTTATTGCTTAGAAAAAAAATATATTTCACATGTAATACCCACCATCACTATTGGACAATTACGACTGTCTCATGTCGACAAGATTTTTATTTATTTATTTATTTACGCTTCATGCACAAAGTGTATACAAGGTGGACTTAATGCCGCAGGCATTTTCTCCTAGTCTGACCTTTGGGTGATGCTGAGAAGAATTAATGGTAGCAGCAAGAAGCAAGCAACGATTTAATTGAGAAAATAGAAGATTATACTAACATAATTCAGATACGAACATAAATAAATATAATAATAATATATATACCTACATACGAGTACAATACAATATACATTATGCATACATACGTACATACATACATAGACTCATAGCATATTTTTCTTTGTGTTTTTAAATAGTTTTAAAAAATGTAAAGAAAGATACTTCCTGAAGAAGAAAGCAGTTGTAAGATGAGGTCGGCTCGCCGTCCGACCAGGACCAGACCCGAGCGTACGGCGCATCGCGTTCGCCTCACCCAGGTGGAAGAAGTCATTGGATGATTTTCCCCCGCAAAAAAAGGGAGCCGCTGGATGCTAGTAGCTCTGGAAGTCACTGGCTGATCTGGAAGCCCTATATTCAGTAGTTGAAGTTCGGTGGCTGACATGATGATGAAGCAGGCAGCATTTCTTTATATGTAAGTATATCAATAGTCTGCGAATTGGGCATAAACAAATTATTCTGGTTTACATACAGTGAAAAACAAAAAAAAAACAAAATTAATTACAATTTTAGCTTAATATCTTCTAAATTTTAGTTATAATAACAGCCTTATAATCATTAGAAAAACAATCCAATTTTAAGTGATATTCTCCAAAATAGACCTGATGACGACGTATCCTAATTTACACAAAGTTCCACAATTTCATTTGGGATCACAACGATCGTTCACCAAGTGACGTAGATCCAGAATAGATCCTGGATCTTAAGATCAAAGGCAGAGTGCAAATTAATTATATTACTTGCTAATTAGCGTGGGTCGGGAATGCGAGCAAATTTGCTTGCGTGATTTCCCAAAAGAACTTGGGAGGGTGCTGCTACAGTGCAAGCGATCATTTTGGGATTTTCTCTTTTTCTGTTGTTGAGTATTATTATTTTACTACGCACTTCCGTGGAGTTAGGTGGAGTGACGATATACGTAAAGTGGCTAGTAGTGGTTGGATAGGTAGAGCTGAAGACCGAGCTCAGTGGCGTGCCATTGGAGAGGCTTATGTCCAGCAGTGGACGAAAACAGTCTGATGATGATGAAGCACTTACGTGTGGTTTTACGCGCTGCTCTTATTGGCTCCTATTGAAGATAGCGTGAGATTTTACCGCCTATTAATAAATCCACTAGCTAACAGAAAAATAATTATTTACAACTATAGAGTTCTGACAAACAAACGAACTCTTCAGCTTTATAAAAAAAAAATATTGTTAGAAGCATAGACAAAAAAAAAGAAAAGTCATCGCGTAGCGGGAAAATGTAATCTGTGGTTCGAAAAATGAAAAAGTCAAGATGGCGGGAACTCGGAAGTTATTGAGACTGCGTATTTGGTGTTGAGGGAATTTTAATCTATTCGAAAGTCAATTTGCCTATTTATGTGTTGTTGTTGTTTTTCTTTCCAATTAATAGTTATAATTTAGTCTGTTAGTGCTGATTTTGTAATTTAATTTCGATGTTAACAATATAAGGTGCATTGTAATGGTGGTACTGTCTATTTTTCCCACCTTCTGAATTTCTAAAATCCAATGTGGTTTAGAACCAATAAGTTTCTAATATCAAAGAGTAAGGTAAACTCTATGGCGAGTTTCTAAGTTTTCTAGTAATATAATAAGATTGTTAAATTTTTGAATGTGGGAACGTTATCAACATCTGTACACACATATGTTCAGTGTATACTCAAGTATTCGACTGATTACTCTTTCTAGAGACAAGTCGATTTTAAATTATTCAGCGATAATGATAATTGTCAAAATATTTTTATTATTGATGACAAGCAGTTAATATTTTGTCTGCCCAATAAATAAAAACAGGCGTTTCATTCAAATCCATTCTAAATCATTCATTTCATGACAATAAAAGTTTCGTAATGGGAGAGCTATGCTTCGGCACGAATGAGCCGGCTCGACCGGAGTGATAACACGGCCTCATAACCGACGTGAAACAACGCTTGCGTGGTGTTTCGTCGTGAGAGTGAGGTTACCGGAGGCCCAATTACCACCCACCCACTTCCTCAATCTCCCCAATCCTTGAATTCAGGTGTTCCAGGTGTCCATGGGCGATTGCTTACCATCAGGTGATCCGTCTGCTAGTTTACCTGTTTATTTCATAAAAAACAAACACCGAGATCCTTCTTTAATGGAAGTTAGTGAAACTTTCACTATGTTATCGTGTTGGCCAGTGAATGGAATAACAAAGACCACTTATTTAGTGACTTGGGAATTAGGAGGGCCACTATACTGACCTGATTACTGTGATTGAGGAAAGGAAAATCGTAATGTGAGAGGAAACAGTGATTGTGCATTGCAAGGAGAATTCAGAACAATTACTGTGTCGGGGAAAGTATAATTGGGTTATTCAATTTGGAAATTGTCTGTATGTAAGGGGAGTATCGATGGTATAGGAAATGGTTATAGGTTGTTCCTAATTATCTAGATTTACTTGTTCTCGTTCTCAGACGCATTTAATAATTACTTAAACTATTTCTTAATAACGATTAACGATTTTGTTTAAAAAACGAGTGCTAAAGATTTTTTTTGGACTAGGTTAAGTAGTTATTGAATGACTCTGAGTACGCCGTTTAGGTATGAAATCTTAATCCGTCAAAGTTAAGGGAGTTGTTAAGTTTTTCTAAATAATGGTTTCAAAATCATTAAAACAACAAAAAAGAAAACTTCGATGGTTCATTTTATGAAGTAATCTCCATAGTTTTCTTTTATGTTTGGTTATGATGACAATTAATAATCGGATACCGTTTTTTATGGAACAAGCCGGTAAATGAGCAGAGGGATCACCTGATGGTGAGCAATCAACAACGCCCATGGACACCCGAACACCAGAGGTGTTACAAGTGCGTTACCGGCCTTTTGGGTATTAGGAATTGTGTATTTATCTTTTCTGACCACTAAAACAAATTTGGAAAGGAGACAGTATAAAAATTATAGATACAAAAAACAATGTTATAACTTATAATAGTCCTTAGAAATGTAAGTTATCGTTGAAACGATGCCAACTTGGTCAGACAGCACCCATTAATAATGTCTCGTGTAAACAAACCCCACTTGTTGCTTGCACGGGAATCGTATGCCGAACAATTTCTTGTATAAATATAAAGTACACTTATGGTTAATTTATTGTCATTCTCGTTACTGTGATTCTAGATTCGATTGGCAGTTAGGAAAAACGTATTGGAATTTTGGATGTTAATTGATTTGTGTCAAGGAATTTGACATAAGAACATCACGCCTTTTTATCCTCGACGGGGTAAGCAGAGGTGCATATTACGACTCTTAATGCCACTGTACAATGTAACACCCACTTTTCACTATTTATGTTGAGTCTCATGTAATAGGGGGTGAAACTATTGCCATACTTATACCAGACACAATTACAAACCCCGTGCTACTACCGAAAAATGCTTAAAAAAAACCAGTAATACTTTGCCCGACTCGGGAATCTGACCCGAGACCCCATGCCCGGTAGTCACTTGCGACCACACGGACAACGAGGCAGGACTGGTTTTTAATTTTAGGCATAAACAATACACAGCGTCATGGTCTAACTCTTCCGGAGATGCCTATGTTCAGCACTGGTATTCTTAAGATTGATACAATGATGATGTTCATCTCGTGGTAGCTTTTCTTTCTCTCTTTCTATAGCCACAGACTTCTTGCATACAAACAAGACAAAGTTACAAAAACCACTTAATTATGCAGAGCAATACCTACCTTCTTCCCTAACAATACAGGCTAACTTTCTTAAACAAGGGGGCTAAGAAAAATCCACTTGGCAAGTTATTTATGATGAAATTGTTACACTTGATATTATCAGCATCACGTGCACAGCTGCGGCAGGTAATCATGTTTTAAGTATCTTACACGCAGTTTAAGGAATGGTCCAAGGCATAAGAGGTGTAGGATAAGGGAAGGGTAAATTCGTAGGAGATTTATTAAATCCAAAGGAGAATTGGCCTACACAGCATTTTATTATTATCATTCCTTTTTATGCCTGGTTTTTTTTAAGGCAGGAAAGTCATCGAATGACTGCTCCCGCCTGGGTGAGGCGGAGGGTTGTGTCAGACTCTTACTGACTAAAAACCACCCTCGTTTTTTCTCCTGCGCTTCGAGCCTGAGCCCCGGTAACCTGTAAGGTTCTCCGCGACGTGCCCGAAGGAGTAGGCAGTGGTGCACATTACGGCACTTAATGCCACTGTACAATGTAACACCCACTTTTCAGTATTTATGTTATGAGTCCTATGTAACAGGGGGTGAGCTTATTGCCATATACCGGGCACATTTCCAGACTCCGTGCTACTACTGGGATTTTTTAAACTTAGTAATACTTTGCATGACCCGGGAATCGAATCCCGACACCCATTGCCCGGCAGTCGCACTTGCGACCACTCGGTCAACGAGGCATTTTATTATTAAGTTTATTTATGTCCATGTATATTATTATTACTATCTTTTATTTTATTTTTATTGAACAAACCAAATAACCTTATTCTATCTACAAGTTTTTGAATAATAAGAAGCCACAAATTTCATCTTCTCAAAACCAAAATGGGGACACCATTAAATAGGGAAGATAAACTTGATACATTAAACTCGATCTACCCACTTCAGGACAGTATAAATTTAAATCTGAAATTGAATCAGATAAGATTTGTTTGTCCCTGTAAATGGGCGTTTCAGCCTAGTTATTCTGTAGCAAGCAGACTTTGTAAATTATCAGGCCTTCGTCACAATTAATGAAACCGATGGTTAATCGACAATAAATACTCTAGCGTGATTTTATGTGGCCTTTAAGTTTCTAACTAGCTGTTGCCCGCGACTTCGTTCGCATGGAATTGTGATTCACAGCTCCTCCCCCGTAGATGGCAGCGTGATAATATGTAGCCTATATGTTGACCCGACCTGTCAGTAATATTCTTGCAAAATTTGAAGTAAATCCATGCAGTACTTTTGGAGATCAACCCGGATATACATACAGACAATCAGACAAAAATTCTAAAAACCATATTTTTGGCTTCGGTATCGATATGTCGAATGTAAGACAAACATATTTTGTGCTGATATAGTGTCTACCTACTTACCTTTGAACAATAAGCCTTTCACACATTGTAAGAAGCACTGACGTACACAGAGTCACCAACAACTGTGAGGACATCGATGAATGTGAAGACCCAGACATTTGTCCAGCACGTCTCAAATATTCTTTTTTAAAAATATTCAATGTACAGTTTTGACTTTTCTAAGATTTATAGTATGTATGAAAAATGTTTTTTTTTATTTCGAAGTCTTTTGTTATCACCTTTTTGGATACATAAGTAAACGTTTTTTAAACAAACATACTTACATACTGGTTAAACTGAGAACCTTATTCTTATTTTGAAATCCGTTAAAAAGAATTTATAATTTTATGTTGATATTATTTATTTATTTTTCTTTCGTATTGTATATTCTAATAATCAGATTATCTATTATCTCCATAAGGTATATGTAACTTATTGCCTTTTTCATAAGGACTCTTTCACCTTGCACCAGCGCCTGGTTACCTACGGCTCTTATAAAATATTTACACGTCGTAAGCTTTGTTAAGTGACTCCACAACTTTTGGCATCATCTCAGACGGTACCCACTTCTTTCGAAGAGAATATAATGTTTTATAAATTATATATTTTGGTCTTAAACCCGGAAACATTTGGAGATAAGGTAAAGAATTGATTTTTCCTGTTATTTTTTTTAATATAAGACATGACTCGTGTAAATCTGTGATTCAAAATTGTAATATGTACTTACTTAGTACAAGAAATCTTCACCTAAATCAACTAAAATCGCGGGTTACTCACGTGAACATACTGAGAAAAGCTCTACTAGTTTCGAACCACACGCGCACGCTGCTCATGAGGAAGAACCCCTCTGTTGCTTTCTGCCTCGCACAGCAAAACTGTGGAATGATCTATCGTCGGCGGTATTTCCGAACCGATACGACCTTCAAACCTTCAAGAAAAGAGCGTATTCCTTTTTAAAAGGCCGGCAACGCACCTGTGTCTCCTCTGGTGTTGCGGTCCTTTACCAGCTTATACCACAAAAAATGGGCTCGCTGCCATTGCAGCGGTAAGTCCCCTCTTTGAGAAGTGGCTTGAGAGACGCTACGGCGTCCTCACCTACCGCCTGACGCAGGTCCTCACCGGACATGGAAGTTTCGGGAGGTACCTGTGTCTGATGGGGCGAGGAGGAAACGCCCGGGTGTCATCACTGCGAGGACCGCCCTGAGGACACGGTGGAACACACAGTGGGAGAATGCCCTGCGTGGGCTGAGCACCGCCGTGCCCTCAGGGAAGTGATCGGCGATGGCGACCTCTCGCGTCCGGGCCTAGTGCAGGCCATGATGCGGAGCGAGGGGGACTGGGATGCCGTCTCCTCCTTTTTCGAAGCAGTCATGCTAGCTAAGGAGGAGGCGGGACGCGTGAGGCAGCGAAGCGCTGCCTCCTCGCAACCCAGCCATCGCGAAGGACACACCGGGCGTCGGGGATCGCGGGACGATCTCCGGCCACCGTAAGCGCGGGCCTGCGGACGGCGAGCATGGGTGGCTCCCCGTCCGACCAGAAACAGACCCGAGCGTACGGCGCGTCGCGTTCCGCGCGCGCCTCAAAGAGCCATCAGACCACCACAGATGGGGCCCAATAGGGCCGATGCCGATTCGGAGTCGCGGAGAACCTAACGGGTAACCGGGGCTCCGGCTCGACGTGCAGGAGAAGGAACGGGGTGGTTTTTAGTCAGTAAGAGTCTGACACTCCCTTCTGCCTCGCCCAGGCGGGAGCAGTCATTCGATGATATTCCCCCTTAAAAAAAAAAAAAAAATCTTCACGCCTTTGAAAGGATCAGCTGAAATACCCATCACACTTTTTATGAATGCTGAAGTTTGGGAGTATGTTTGTTACTGATACATCAGAACGGCTGAAAGGATCAGGATGAAATTGGAACAGCGATAAATTACATGTGGGCTGTAAGAACAAAGGCTATACATGTAGCTGCAGTAACATATACAATGTGCAATGTAAATAGTAAATAGTAAGTAAACCCACCTACGACATAGGAGAAAATCCTAGTAGCAGCTCATATTCAGTATGTGCATCTTTGCTTATCTTTAGGGGATTAAGGGACATGGCATTATGTGTATGAAGTAAGGGCAAAACGTTGACCCACACCAGGATTTTCTCCTGTGTCGTGGGTGCGTTTACAAACATACAAGTTCACATACACGTGACAGAACAATTTGTGGATCACACAAAGAGTTGCTCCGTACTGTCGTTAACTTAATAATATTCTTTAGAAAATATTAATGTCCTGAAGGAACTCGGAGTCATAATTAATTCCCAGTGTTTTAGTGCTCATTATTCGTCGACCTAGATCTAGATTTATGAACAAAGTAGTTTAAAAGTTCTCACTCGTATTGACAACTTCCTCCGGTCCAGACTTTAAGATTTAATATAGAAGAAGAAAATATTTTAATTAAGTGCGACTTTTATCCCGTAAACGGGAAAATAGAAGGGAGATATGTAGGTAATAGTTTTCTTTTTAGACGTAGTAATCTTCTCAAGAGTAGCACGGAGTCTGGAATTGTGCCCGATATATATTAATAGGCTCAACTCTATTACATGTACAGTGGCATTCAGTGTCTATTCCTCCGGGGGTAAAATGCGTAATGTTATGTTATGTTTCTTTTTAGACTCTTGACAGATAATGTACACGGTATATATTTCCGTGAGGCCGTGGTATCACTCCGGTCAAGCTAGTCCATTCGTGCCGAAGCATGGCTCTCCCAAACTTAATATTTAGATTTTTAAAAAGAGACAGAGTATCGTTTAGTAACTTTGCTTTATTTTTTTTTATGGCATAAGCCGGTAAACGAGCAGACGGATCATCTGATGGTAAGCCATCGGCGTCGCCCATGGACACCTGGAACACCAGAGGCGTTACAAGTGCGTTACCGGCCTTTTGGGGAATTAGGAGTTTGAGGATCATTGAGGATTCAGGAATTGGGAAGATTGGAGAAGGGGAGGGTAATTGGGCCTCCGGTAACCTCACTCACACGACGAAACACAACGCAAGCGTTGCTTCACGTCGGTTTTCTGTGAGGCCGTGGTATCACTCCGGTCGAGTCGGCCCATTCGTGCCGGAGCATGACTCTCCCACACTTGAAGTTGTTAGAATGACCTAGATACTCGAAAGAATTCTTTTAAATTTCATGCGGCCGATTCGCAGGTGGATAAATTGAAGGTGTCGCACTTATGTTCAACATTTCAATATAAACCACGTTCCTTACAGATTTTCCACTTTTCACTTGAAACAAAATGTTGTCGAAAAATTGTCAAGACTGAGTCATCGTCGGTACGAGCACAATATATTAAACCTTATTGCGAAGTTACATGGTTGAAAATAGATACTGGCACCTGTGCTAAGCGTTCGAGGTAGCCATTTTAAGTTAACAATCTCGAACTAGCCTTCCTTCTACTGAAATATTATGAAGTAAAGAATATTTTTTTAATATCAGACAAGTTAATGTATGTACTTCACTCACCTAAGATTCTTAAAAAGATTTTTTTTACAACATTGCCCCACACTAGGATTTTGTCCTGTGTCGTGGGTACGTTTACAAAAATACAAGTTCACATACACATGACACCCAGACCCAGAACAACAATCTGTGGATCACACAAAAAGTTGTTACGTGCGGGAATCGAACCCGCGACACGTTGCGCGGCAGCCGGTTGCCCAGCCACCGCACCAACCGTGCAGTCAATTCAAAATCATTTAGCATATTTTTGGAATTATGATTATAACACAAATAACTATAACAGTAAAGATTCCCACACAATATCCAAAGCATACATTGGCAGCCAAACCCGGTTAAAATGGCCGCGCATCGCATAACAATGAACTAGCGAGAAACAGTTAATATGATCCTCGTTACCCGGGTAGGTACTTATCAAGCTAATTCAAACATTGCGTGTAGAGTTCAATAGGTAATGATGTTTACCGGCATTATGTAGATACCTCTAGCCGGATTATCCGGTCGTGGTGATGCCGGTAACCGGGAAAATTGCTCATGGTATAACCGGGTGCGAGAAATGGATTTTGTTGTGAATTACGATTAAGGAGTTATTATGATGATGGGGTAGTTGACTTTATTGTGGTTGAATGGATATAGTTATGTTTTTATATAATAACTATCGTGAGACGTACTAAATATACTAAAATCACGGGTTACTCACGTGAATATACTGAGAAAAGCTAGTTTCGAACCACAGAGGGGCTTTTCCTCATAAGCAGCGTGCGCGATCGCGGCGACCGCGATTTATGAGTAATATTTAAAAATACAATTTTAGAGGATTTTAAATAATTATATAGAAGAATAATTTAATGTGCCGAATGCAATAATTCATAAAAACCGTCTTCATAAACATATAATCTATTTCTTTACCCAATGATTAGTACATAATCTGCTATCATTACCACGCTATCAGTAATCAATATCCGATGGACAAGTACATGGTACACAGTACATAGTATGTTCCCAACAACTTTTAATGAGAAACTCCGCAAAGTACTATATGTTCCTGCATGTCACATAATTGGCTATGTATATACGATTCTAAGCGAAATTCTTACTAATATTATAAATGTGAATGTTTATGTTTGTTCGTCTTTCTTGTGAATTTGTTGTAGATTAGAAATGCTTGATTTAGGTTGTGGGTGTGGCGCTTGCTTCGGCTTCTAGACCCGGAGCAGTCGCGGAGAACCTAACGGGTTCCCGGGGCTCCGGTTCGACGTGCAGGAGAAGGAACGGGGTGGTTTTTAGTCAGTAAGAGTCTGACACTCCCTTCCGCCTCACCCAGGTTGCGTGTTCTACAGTGGTCTATGTCTACAATATTATCTAACTCGAGACTTCTTGTTCAGTAGTTGTGTAGGCCACCAATAACACAGGAACATAATATGCTATGCAGGTAAAACCGTAGCAAAGTAATAATAATATACGATGTAATATAATTGACCAATTCCGAATGTACCCAGAAGATCAGGGTGACGTTGATTGAAGACATAATTAGGCTAAAGTCCCGTTGCCACGCGCCCACAACTTTCATCCGACAGACTAAATAGGGAGGGGGGACTTTCATATCGACAATTTTAACAAAAAGTTTGTTAAACTTGTTTCTAACTTGTTATTTTTGGAGTAATATATGGACTCTATCAAGTCCATGAAAATATATATAGAAATTGCAGAATATTGTTACAAACTTTAAGTTTATAACAGCGTTCCAACGATATGTAAATTTAAGATTCATATAGTGAAAAGGTTCAAACACTATTCGACAAACACATCACACTCAAAGCTAAAACAATCATAAATAAATTATAATAAATTACAACTCCACGCTGCAGTTTTGGGCAGCAACTTGGAATCAAACTCACAATAAGCAGCACAACAGTCCCTGCACCTAATGGTGTCAAAGTTAAAACACAACCAATCACGACATCAACTTAAAATTTCTCTAAGCAATCAACTCAATGTGCAAGCAACATTAAAAAAAAACTGTCCAATTTAACTTACAAAGCTGGTTTCTGTAACACATGCTTAACATTCAGTGCAAGTGTATAATCAAATGGCAGAAACAGCTTGGCTTGCCAGTCCTGCCATTCGACTGGCAATCTGCCCGAGAGCCAACTTCCCACTTTTCGTGCAAGGCTAAAGTTTTCGATGCACTTTTTGAACTATACTCTGCACGGGAATATGTGCATACGTGCTTAGCATTGATCCTGATTAACGTGGACTTCTGTAGACAGGGAGACAGGGTTGTTAGGTCACGTAAGTGAGTCACATATAAATTGGTTACTGCTGCGTCGTCCGTTGGTTGCAGTTTCATGTTGCGGTTGTTTTTAATATATAACTAACTTCTGCCCGCGACTTCGTAGCGCAATCTCGAAAAAAATTTGATGGTCTACCATTAACATTTAGGGGGATGAAAAATAGATGTTGGTCAATTCTCATAGAAACCGGATAAGCACAAAAAATTTCATCAAAATCGGTCAAGCCGTTTCGGAGGAGTATGGCAACGAAAACTGTGACATGAGAATTTTATATATTAGATTTGTTTGGGCTTTAATATTGATTGTGTTATAGTATTAGAGCAGTGTTCTATTTGCTACAATTGTTGGTTATTATAACAGTATTGTTTATTGTTACTGTAATCAACTCACCGCTGTGTTACCCGAAGTGCTAAATTGATGAAACTCGTTACATAGTTAATGAGAACTAAATTAAAATCTATTCTAATAGAAAACGCAGACAATTTCAGAATCGATGTTATTGGTGAGAATTTTCTGATTGACAATATCAAAGTGAATCAAACTTTACATCCCTTGCTTCACGATAGCACTTGCTAATCGATACAAAAGATAATTTATTTTTAGCCATAGTCGTCCCACTGCAGTGCAAAGGCCTCCCTACCCTCCTTCCACTCGTCTCTTCTCATAGCTTTCTGTGGTCAATCCTTATAAAAGATAAGTATTTTTTTATTATCGACTAGCTGTGCCCGCGACTTCGTTCGCGTGGTTGTCGAAAACAAAACAACATCGTTTAGATAGCAGTGGGCTATATACACATGAACTCCACTCAAGAAGATGGTAGGTATAGTATTTTTTTGCCAATAAAGATCCTGACTATAGTATATTTTTATTTGGTAATATTGGTATCTAGTTATCGATATTCAGTATCACAGCACTATTACAGTAACTTCTGACTGACGTGAGGGTTATAACAAAATGACTTTTTAAATCGACCCGCAAATGTGCTTGCTGCGGCTCCTCCATAATAGCGCAGCAGTTGTATAATTGGATGCTGAATTACATTTATGGATTCAATAATAATTTTTAAATTGTCACAACTTTTAGCTGATCTATTTTTAGTTATTATGTTTTTAAGAGGTACGCAGAGGTGCACAAAATAGTACACGGTGCCAGATATGAATACAGAATGAATACAGAATGATATACAGAATGTGCGAACATTTTTAAGAAGGTATTTTACAAGCCCCATGTTATTTATTAGGACTAAATCACGCTTTTTTATTCCCGGAAGGGTAGACGGAGGTGCACATTACGGAGGTGCACATTATGACAGAGTACTATGTAACACCCACTTTTCACTATTTATGTTATGAGTCCCATGTAATAGTGGGTGAGCCTATTGCCATATACCGGGCACAATTCCAGACTTCGTGCTACTGCTGAGAAATATTTAAAAAAAACCCAGTAATTCTTTTTCCGACCCGGGAATCGAACTCGCGACCATTCGACCAACGAGGCAGTCATACAAAATAGTAATAAAATAATTTGGTAAATAATAACACAGGAAGTACCAAGAAGAAATAACCTTACACGTGGGCAAAGTCGCGGGTAAAAGTCAGTCTACTATATTTTTTTGATACATACAAAATGGCTGCTAAGCAAGGAAAGTTGGTTCGTGATTAAGTCGAACCAATTACGAGTAATAAATAATATTTAGCGCGTCATCTGTTGGTGATTGCCTTCTGTTTAAATATGAGTGGTTCAAGTTAGGGGATGATGGCGTAGAATACACTAAACCTCCTCTCATCATCGTTCTTTGAACTAACAAAATGGTTACACTGAATTTCATGCACGTCGGTATAAAAAAGACAACAAACATAAAATCTTTACTAAGTCTGTTTGGTGTTCATGAAATTAGAAAGTACTCAAACCTAACTATCATCATTTCAGAGGAATCGATGAAAAAATCTCTGTTTGCGATTATATAGTTTACCAGAATAAAACGACAGCCGAAGGAAAATGATTCCTCGCAGCTAACAGAATATAAAGTCACAAAAAATCATAAAAGTATATAATTTAGTGTCAAAATCAGCGATATTTTTATATATTTGCTGTGTAATCTTACAAATTGGGGTCTCCTCACTATTTGTTGGGTTCAGTCACGTATTGTACCAAAATGGCTGCGGTCAGACACGTGAGCTATCAGGATTCTGACCGGCTGGCCAGTTCACAACTTATCATAGTTCCATGATAGAAATTGTACGGATATTGGTACGATTTCCATAACTGTTGTAAGATTGTATAAGATGTTGTTACGTCATTGTTTCTATGATTGTAAGACTGTTATTTTTGATAGATATTATATGTAGATTATCGTATACATATTTAAGGACTTAGCCGAGTGGTTGCAAGTGCGACTGCCGGGCAAGGGGTCAAGGGGGGGGGGGGCAAGTATTACTGGGTTTTAAAAAAATTTTCAGTAGTAGCACGGAGTCTGGAATTGTGCCCGGTGTATGGCAATAGGCTCACCCCCTATTACATCGGACTCATAACATAAATAGTGAAAAGTGGGTATTACATTGTACAGTGGCATAATGTGCACCTCTGCCTACCCCTTCGGAGATAAAAGGCGTGATGATGTTATGTGTTATATTTAAGGACTTAACAAAAAGTACAAATAAGTTTTCACGTTAGCTATGTACTGTGAGGAAGCGCCATGCTTCGGCACGAATGGGCCGGCTCGACTAGAGTGATACCACGGCGGTACGCTCTCACAGAAAACCGAGGTCAAACAACGCTTGCGTTGTGTTTCGTCGCGTGAGTGAGGTTACCGGAGGCCCAAATACACCACTATCTAATTTTCCCAATCCCCAGATCCCCAACAATCCTCAAAAAAGGCCCGCAACGCACTTGTAACGCTTTTGGTGTTTTGAGTGCCCGTGAACAGCGTCGATTGCTTATCATCAGGTGATCGTCTGTTCGTTTACCGGCTTATCCCATAAAGCAATATACGCAATTCATCAATCTTACATAACGTCAATAGTTTATATAAACATGGACAATATAAATAGGTCAGTACGAATATATAACACCATTTATTCCTTTGACGTTTTTCTAGTGACCGGTCCTATAAAGATGTCAATTTGTTAAGATAAGGGTAAGGTCCGATATCTCGGATGCTGGCGATATCGCAATTACTTGCTTCACGGAATACGTTGCTAAATCTGATAAGATGATTGATTTTTTTGTAGTTAATTGTAGTGTTAACTTGAGAGGGAAATATAGTGTGTGTGGTGGCTCAAAGGTTTAAGACAGGCGTTTACCGCATTACCAATGACTTTCGAGTTATAAGAGTATGTACTTTCTAGGATTATTTTTCACTGACAAACGGCGAAGGAAAACATCGTGAGGAAACCTGCAGCTGTAGCCAAATGCCATTTAGCGCTTGTCTACATGTAGAGTAGACAACTAAATTAGATGGAATTGACGTAAATTTTGACACTTGTCTGTATCATACATTTAGTTTTCTACTCTCTCAGTAGACAAGCGCTAAAGGGGCGTTTGGCTAAAGGCACTGGGCTTATAATTTCTAATTATAAGTTTCAAATCGCCAACCCGCATTGAGCAAGCGTGGTTACCAATGCTAAAACCTTCTCCGTGTGAGAAGAGGCCTTTGGTCAGCAGTGGGCACTTATAAGATATTGATGATGATGATAATCATGATGTAGTATTATTTATTAAAACTTTGCACCCTTGTACCCATAGTAGGATTTTCTCTTGTATGCAGTATTTCATATTACTACGTCCAAAACACCTGTCACCCAGGCACTAAGGCAACTATGTAGTCTCGTCAAGTAAAGAGAGAGAGCTGAAAGCTGAGGCATAGTCAGGTACTTTTTATAAGAATTCATATTAGTTCTCCACAGACTCTTGGTCATACAATTTTGAGTCAGGAGTTACAATATTATCAGGTTTTCAATACCTACAACAAGAGCGTTGGGTATCGTATCCACGTTTCGATTTTACATTCAACACCTGAGTGTTATGAAAAATTCACATCTACAAACTCTTTAGGGAAATAAATACTATGTGTACTTTTTAAAGATTAGTTCGTCGAGCGCAGGCACATAATTATGAGTTCTTAATCATCATGAGTGTCGTGTTGGACCGGAGGTTTAAAACGCCAGCTTCTCATGCATGCGGGTGCGGGTTCGAAACCTACAAACGGTAAGTACCAATGTGACTTTTTCCGAGTTATATGTACTTTCTAAGATTATTCAGACACCACTGACAAACGGTGAAGGAAAACATCGTGAGGAAACCTGGGCTTATTTATAATTTCTAATTATAAGTTTGAAATCGCCAACCCGCATTGAGCAAGCGTGGTGATTAATGCTCAAACCTTCTCCGTGTGAGAAGAGGCTTTGCTCAGCAGTGGGCATGTATAGGCTGTTGATGAATCATCATGAGACCCTTCGTTCGGCAGTTACACTTCCAACCACTCAATCAACTACGCAAAACGTACTTAAGTAAAATTAATCTCCTTGATACAGGATTATGAATATTAAACAATGTAACAGGCATAGACTTGTAAAAGTAACTAAATCTATTGAATTAGTTTCTACAGTTCCTAGAACCGAAACTATTTGAAACATTACACTTAAGTTTATGTCTGACTTCTAGGTATTCAGAATCGGTTTAAGTTCACAAACTATTCTAGACGTTTCGTTATTAGGCTGTCCCTACTAACTTGTAATGTAGTTTAAGTATCTGGCTGAGTTACCCACAAAATATCTTTTAAGGGTTGGTTCTGAATGACAGAATCAGAATCAGAATTAGAATCAGAATATTTTTATTTGTAAACATAGGTATGTGAGGTGTTACAGGTAGGTAGATTCTCCATGTTTTGCCCAGAGGCGTACAAATATTATATATAATTAAAATTATTTAACTTTGTCATCATTAAAAAATTAATTAACACTTGTAATTGTAAATTAAATTGAAACCGATTAAGTAACATGTCATACAATACTAATGCCTAATAAAATTAGCCAGGTTGAAGTATTAATGTTGTTATCGCAATATAACCTAGGTACTGAATCGATTCTAATGACATTTGTTATAGACGTACAGCCGTGAAATATTACCTTGGCAAAGACTAATTAAAATACCAATTTCTGCTAGATGTAATTATTTTACGCGGAGGAAGTAGCAGGTAACAGCTAGTTCTGCTATCTATATTCTATATATATATATAAAAGAAAGTCGTGTTAGTTACACTATCTATAACTCAAGAACGCCTCAATCGATTTAGATGAAAATTGGCAGGGAGGTAGCTTAGAACCAGGAGACGGACATAGGATATTTAGACGGACATAGAACATAGGACTTTTTATAGAATACTTTTTTTTACTTTTTACTGAAAATTACGAACGGGAACGGGGGAAAGTGGGATTGCGCGTACGAAGTCGCGGGCAGAAGCTAGTAATATTATAAAAGCGAAAGTTAGTTTATTTGTTTTTTACTCCTTCGCGTCAAAACGACTAAATAGATCGAGATGAAATTTGTAACAAGGGTAGATTATGATCTGGACTAACACATAGGTTCCTTTTTTCTACGGGAAAGAACGAGCGAAGCCGCGGGCAGAAGCTAGTGTATTATAAAATTAGTGGGAAAAAAAAGTTTTATATTTTCATAAGGGTTTGTCATCGTCAATTCACTGCTGGACTATCTGCCTCCTCTACACGAGAAGGTGTACCTCGACACTAGATTGGAGAACACAGAAAAAAATTGGTTGCCTGTAAAGTCGGTATACGGGCGAAAGTTTTACGTGACAACGACTTTGAGTGGTAAAATATTATGTCTGTCTCTCTCGCTCTTAGGCGGGCTAACCATGCCCGAGTGGAAGGGACGCGTGCCTCTCACTCGCTCTCATTGTGAGCGCATAACGTGAGCGGAGCGTAACGCAGTTTCTTGAAGTGTCACCCGGCAAACCAATTTATAAGACGTTGTCATGTCAAAATTAAGTAATCTTGTTGCTTACGAAACGTCAGCATTTCTAACCCACTTTTCGAATGCAAGGGTGCATACACTACAATCGCTCTTTTGACCACTGAAACATTGTAATACAATATTATAATACACATGTCAATATGTAAAAGCAATATTATAATATATTGTAACGGCATGCATTGTTTGCTGTGACAAAACCGTCACCGCTATCCGTGCCTGTATTAACGAATTTAGCAAATAAACAATACATTTATTAACCACAGATTAAATTAGGTCAATTGGCATATCAATATATTGCGATAATTAGATAGACAATTTCAAACTGAATAGTTCGACACAATATTGTTTCATTTGGTTACGTTTTGCGGTTAGATGTTACACTAATTTACTAGAATGTATGATGTACTAGTTCTGGTAGGTTTTAGCAACATTCCAAAAGTATTTATTTGGAAGGTATTTGTTCAGTTGGCAACAATAGTCAACTGCCTCGTTAGCCGAGTGGTCGCAGGTGCGACTGCCGGGCAGGGGGTCTCGGGTTCGATTCCCTGGTCGGGCAAAGTATTACTGGGTTTTTAAAAATCTCAGTAGTAGCACGGAGTCTGGAAATGTGCCCGGTATATGGCAATAGGCTCACCCCCTATTACATGGGACTCATAACATAAATTGTGAATGGTGGGTGTTACATTGTACAGTGGCTTTAAGTGCCGAAATGTGCACCTCTGGCTACTGCTTCGGGGATAAAAAGGCGTGATGTTATCTTATGTTATGTATTTGTTCAGTGATGGAAATCTTCTGATATCTTTTATGATGAAAATTATTTAACTGACTTCATAAAAAGAAGAAGGTTCTCAGTTTGACCAAGTTGTATGTATGTTACCGCAATTATCTCGCTATTGACTAAACTGATTTTGATGCCGTTTTTATAAAAGTGTTTCTTACACATCGGGCCGATTTTTTCAACGCCAGTTAAATTTAAACACAGCAATAAATTTGAATATTTGACAATTCTTCCATATTAAAAATTGTCAACTGTCCATTTCATTTTATAGTTAAGAATTAACTGATTGAAATGCCCTTTTATTTAAGGGGCGGGGGGGGATATCATCGAATGACTGCTCCCGCCTGGGTGAGGCGGGAGGGAGTGTCAGACTCTTACTAACTAAAAACCACTCCGTTCCTTCTCCTGCACTTCGAGCCGGAGCCCCGGTAACCCGTTAGGTTCTCCGCGACAAAATCGGTCCTCAGGAGCATATTTTAGAGCCTATATTAACCAACTTAAAAAAGGAGATTGTAGTCGGTCCCTTTAAACGTAGTTTGTGGAAATTACTTTTAATACTTATTTTATAACGTGGAGTTCAGAATAGTGCCCGATATTTAGAAGATACCTATTCATGTACCTTCATACAATAGGGTAGACGACTAATTTTTATTTTAATGTCCGTCTGGTAGATTATTTAAAAACATTAGACACGTATTTTTTCTTTTCTCACAGAAACGAATAGTTTCGAAGATATATTGATTTGAAATGTCGCGTGACGTCACTTCTCAGTACATTTTATACTAAGAAATGACGTTTTAGCCCCCACTCCTAAACTTTGATTCGTTTTATCTAAGTATTGTTTTATTATACGACAAAATAAAAAAATACGTGTCTAATATTTTTTCATTACCTAACTTACGGACTAATTATATTTTTAATTTTCATACCCTGTCATCATCCCCATTGAACCACCTTTCCCTTTCTCTCAATCATACATGTAACACTCATTACCATAACTCAAGATAACTTGGTTACTGCCATTTCATTAAACATAAAAGGCCATACAACATGAGATTTATCGCCACCCATTCACCGGCGACACAGCTCACTGCGCGCAAATAGTCGCGGACTGAATGTCAGCCTTTATTACGAAATACGTTTATAACGAACTAGCTGTTGCCCGCGACTTCGTCCGCGTAGATTAATGACTTCTGACAGAATTAACCAGAATCAATTCAGTGCCCAAGTAAGATTTACCTATTTTGAAATGATTTATCGTAGTTTCAATAAATAAATAATCCCGCAGGGATCTTACCAGTACAGTGCCCGATCACGTAAGGTTTGAGTAATAAAAACCTATTCTATCGACTATTGTTGTACCGAATCTCTCTAGAATAAGTTCAGTGGTTAAGAGTTAGAAAGTCCTGGGGCATTGACGCATAGTTCCCGTTCTCGTGAGACATCTGTGAAAAAACTATCATACGTTACCCAGGTCCTAAATCATTGTTTTAATGATTCTAAATTCAACGGCTAAGAAGATTTATACAAACTCTCATTCCCTATTTTATCCCCTTAGGGGTGGAATTTATCAAAATCCTTTCTAAAGAGATACCTATGTCATAGTAACTTTATGCATGCAAAGTCTCAGCCCGATCAATTTAAAACTGGCAAAGTATCATACAAACTTTCACCCCCTATTTTACCCACTTTGGGGTGAGAATGTTCAAAAACTTTTCTAAAGGGACGTTTACGTCATAATATCCATCTGCACGCCGAATTTCAACCCGATCGGTGTAAAACTGACAAAGCTTCATACAAACGGTCATCCCCTATTTTACCCACTTAGGGGTGGAAATTATCAAAATCCTTTCTTAGCAGATGCCTATGTGATAACATCTATCTGCATGTCAAATTTCAACCCGATCGATTTAAAACTGACAAATGCTCATATAAACTTTCATCCCCTATTTTACCCCTTGGGGGTGGAAATTATCAAAATCCTTTCAAGCGGATGCTTACGTCATAACATCTATCTGCATGCCAAATTTCAACCCGATCGATTTAAAACTGACAAAGTCATACAAACTTTCATCCCCTATTTTACCCCTTGGGGGTGGAAATTATCAAAATCCTTTCACAGCGGATGCTACGTCATAACATCTATCTGCATGCCAAATTTCAACCCGATCGATTTAAAACTGACAATGTCTCATACAAACTTTCATCCCCTATTTTACCCCCTTGGGGGTGGAAATTATCAAAATCCTTTCAAAGCGGATGCTTACGTCATAACATCTATCTGCATGCCAAATTTCAACCCGATCGGTTTAAAACTGACAAAGTCTCATACAAACTTTCATCCCCTATTTTACCCCCTTGGGGGTGGAAATTATCAAAATCCTTTCACAGCGGATGCTTACGTCATAACATCTATCTGCATGCCAAATTTCAACCCGATCAGTTAAAAACTGACAAAGTTTCATACAAACTTTCATCCCCTTTTTTACCCCCTTGGGGGTGGAAATTATCAAAATCCTTTCTTAGCGGATGCCTACGTCATAACATCTATCTGTATGCCAAATTTTAGCCCAATCTGTCCAGCGGTTTGGGCTGTGCGTTGATAGATCACTATGTCAGTCAGTCAGTCAGTCAATCACCTTTGAATTTTATATATATAGATTGTGGGATGAGTGTGACCAGAATATGTGGTTTCAATTTGGTAAACCAGGTGTTTCTGTAATATTATATCTCGCGTTTTTGTTCCCTGTATGAATTGCTATCAGAGTGTTGAAAGTAAATATAGGTAACGCATTTTTCGCCATTTAGGTCAAGAGTCTCGTTTCTGTGTTGGTCGGCATTTTGATGTAAATCTATATACCTATATAGATAAAAATGAAACCCGTTTCCCGTTGTCACGCCATAACTTGAGAACGGCTAGATTGACTGACGGCGATTTGGCTGATTTTTTTGTTGTGTTTGTTATCGTCAGAAGAAGGTTCTTACGACAGAAAAAATACTGAAAATCCTACGGGAATGGAAGTAACGGGAATGCGCGTACGAAGTCGCGGGCAGAAGCTAGTGAAGCATAAATTCGGACTATTATTATTGAAAGAATAATTTTTATTTTTTCCTATCAGTATGACGTCATAAACAAGCACGTCTGCCCGTCATTGTATTTGTAGTTACTCCTTCCATTATGTTTTATAGCCTAATCGTACTAGTGATTCCGGAGACTAGCACGTTAAAAAAAACTAACAATAATATACAAACAAACTAGATATAAGATTCTAAGTCGCATCTACAACAAAGAGCGAGGCTATAGTCAAACATAAATAACTACATCCAAACCTGTCAGATACAAAAATATACCTCTATGTTGTCCAATAAACACGACGCCATAGATTTTCCCCGTCTCATAACTTTGAATAGACAAGTTTGTCACGTCTGTAACCCTTCCCATTGTTATCCGATTTCGGCTAGACGTGATATTTTTATTTCGGCAGTTTTCGCCAAAGTTCGGCAAAGTTCGGCTTGGTTCGCCATCTTTGTATTGGGTAGAATGGGTCACGGTCCACGGCTGACGGCGTGAAAAACTTCTGTTTGTTTATTTTTGGAATATTTACTATCTTACCTGTACCTATGGTACAAGTTGGTCTATAGTTATTGTTTGAGTTGTAATTATAGTTTTCTAAGGTAGTTTTTTTAATAAATTATTGTGAATAAGGTGTAATAACTTTTATTAGTTGAAAAAAATACAGTTTTTGTATAGTAGAATGATCAAAAATTCTTAATGATTCCTTCGATATAATTATCTGGCGTTGGTAAAACCAATCCTAAAGAAAGTATTGACTTACAGTTCCTCAAAACTACTTCAGAAAACAAATCATTGTTTAGAGTACACACTCATTTTGCTAACTTCATGGTATACGTTTTTAGGTATGTGACTCATAAATTAAACGACGGACAATATTAGATGTTATTTATTGTGTTCACTATAACTGTCGCGTAACGAGTGGCACTTCTCGCTGACGCGCATACATTATATTATACTTATCATGACCCTACAACATTCCTCCCCTTTTTAAAAAGAAAAAAAAACTACTAATGACATACAAATACATAATTTCTTATTAAGTACAATAACAAAATACCAATACCGATGACAAAATTCTCTCTTGTGAATGAATCTAATAACAATAAGCTCAAATTACAATACCTGCACCTGGTAGGTTTAAATTACTAAGATACATAGAAATGTTAGCATATACAAAACTCGTAGACAATATTGCGATAATATAGTTACAAATGATTAATTATAGTAATATTAATTACATACATATAATTAGTTTACACACATTGAATGAATTTAATTCTTACAGAATTAATAATGGTTTACGAGCTTATGTTACCCAGACACGGATTGAATTTACCTTATGTGCGATTACTCTGTACAGATGACACTTATGCGTACTGAACTGTAGCTGGCTGCTGACCAGCTTTATCGATCTGGCTTAATGATATCATAGATATCATTTCTTTCCTGGCCCACTTTTTCATACCTTTGTTGCACCTCTTGAATATGAAACATGCTCCGATAATAAGAAGGTTTAACATTATGATAGCAATAACAATACTGTACATTTCCATTTTTTGTTCCAACGAACTATGACTTGCGTTATTTGCGCCATTCTGCGCTATTATGATTTCTTCCTGCTTGCTATATGACTTTCCCATGTTTATCAAAAGTAAATGGATACACGTAAAAAAATATCAGTCGTGTAACGTCCGTTATTCCCAAAATGGTAATACAATGATATTTGTAAAAAAAAATAAAATGTGAAATATAATATAAAATCTGCTTACTACTTATTAGTTACTAACCTACTTTCGCTGTAAATTATAAAACCATTATTACAGTGCCAGGCGATGAAAAACTACGCTGTCTTTGCAAACATTTTCTTTAATATAAACTGGTATCGCATCGCTTAGCATTGCATTCGCTAGGAGAGGATGACAATTATGATAAAAACCTTACTGGCAACTTTATCACGCGGCCAGAACGCGTAGTGCGGTTAGCGCTAGAATTGCTGATCGCGACAGCGGGTTCGATTCCCGTCTGTTTGTTTTCCGTTAACCTGTTTGAACTTTCTGTAGTATTATCATTTAACATTGTATCGCTTAAAATGTATGCTGGCTTTAACCTATCTATTGTTACACTAGCTTTCCTTCCGGGCAACTGGATGACGTAAACCTTAGACCTTCTGTGTAAAACGCGGTATGGACCGTCGTAAGGAGGCTTCAAAGGTTTGCGTACTGTGTCGTCCCTGACAAATACGTAATCAACTTTACTTAAATCGGGATGCACAAAACATGAACGAGAGTTATCATGCGGCTTTGGTACGGGTCTGAGAGATTTTATGTTTTTTCGAATCTGCTCTACTAAGCTGTACGGCTCTGAGGAAACGCTTTGAGTAGCATCGTAAAAATCCCCGGGAAGCCGTAATGTACGACCGAAAGTCAACTCTGCGGCTGATACGCCACTGTCGCTACGACATGCTGCGCGAAGACCTAACATCACCGTGGGTAACTCGTCGACCCATGACTTATCATGCAAACGTGCCATAAGGGCGGCTTTGAGTGTTCTATGCCACCTCTCTACAGCTCCGTTAGCCTGCGGGTGGTAAGCCGTAGTGCGTATCCTGTTGATACCTAACAATTTTAAAAGTTCATAGAAAAGCTTACTCTCGAATTGGCGACCTTGGTCGCTCGTCAACTTTACTGGACACCCATATCGACAGATCCAATCTTTATATAAGATTTTTGCAACGGTTTCGGCGTTCATGTCTTGCATAGGGAAAGCTTCGGGCCATCGTGTACATCGATCGATTATCGTTAAACAATACTTGAAACCATCTTGTGAAATTGGAAGAGGGCCGATTATATCGATGTGTACGTGCTGGAAACGATCAACATTAGGGAACTGACCTACGTCTGAAATAGTGTGACGACTTATTTTTGAGCGCTGACATTCTAAACATGTTTTTGACCATTCGTTTATATTAATATTCATATTTGGCCAGAAAAACTTTTCAGTAACTAATTTCCGACTCGCGCGTATTCCGGGATGACTAAGATTATGTATACTGTCGAATGCAGCTCGCCTAAACTCTTGTGGTATATACGGCCTCGCATTTTTCGTGGAAATATCGCAATAAATTGGTTTATTACATGTAGGTAAATATAATTTCTTTAAAGTAGAGCAACTGGTATTATTTGTGTTGTATGCTGTCACGTAGTCATCGGTTTCTTGCAATTCAGCGATTCTGTTGTAATCTATAGCTGTGGGACAGAATACTGTCTCTACACGTGACAAGGTGTCAGCTACCGTGTTGCTATGCCCACTTATATGACGTATATCGGTTGTGAATTCGCTGATGTATAACAAATATCTAATTCTGCGGGGCGTTTCGTCCGTCGATTTACCTAATTTTGAAAAAGCGTATGTTATCGGTTTATGGTCGGTATACACGGTGATCTTACTTCCTTCAAATAGTTTTCTGAAATGCTTTATTGCCATGTATATAGCTAATAGTTCACGGTCATAAGCAGAATATTTTTGTTGGGCATTAGTTAACTTTTTTGAAAAGTATCCTAAAGGTTCCCAAATATTATTTACCTGCTGTTGTAAGACTGCGCCTACACAAGAATTAGAAGCGTCGGTCATCAAAGCGAGCGTCGTATCAGTCCGCGGATAAGACAACGTAGCGGCCATTTTAAGACCATTCTTACATTGCTCAAAAGCTTGACTTGCGTCCTCCGTCCATTGAATCTTACTTTTATCATTCTTTTTTGCACCTCCGAGATATTTATTGAATAAGGACTGATGGGATGCTGCGTTAGGTAAATGAGCGCGATAAAAATTCACCATACCTGTGAAACGACGTAAGTCTTCAATTGTTTGCGGTTTCGGATAGTCTATGATAGCCTTGACCTTCTCCTCTGTTGGCCTAATACCCTGCGGTGAAACTTGATACCCTAAGAATTCTAAATTAGTTTGACCAAAAGCGCATTTATTTAGGTTTATTGTTATTCCGTGTTTATCTAACCGCTGAAAAATAATGCCTAAATGTTCGAGATGTTGCGTTTCATTTTCACTCATTATAATAGCGTCATCTATATAATTGAATACAAAATCCAACCCTTGAAATACTGAGTCCATAAAGCGTTGGAAGGTCTGGGCAGCGTTACGTAATCCGAATGTCATTCGCGGGAATTCAAAGAGGCCAAAAGGTGTTATTATGGCTGTTTTTTCCACGTCGTCTGGTGCAGTTTCTATAACATGATAGGCTCTATTTATATCGATTTTTGAGAAAATATTCTTGCCAGCCATGCTAAATGTAAAATCTTGCAACCGCGGAATTGGGTATCGGTCGGGTTTCGTAATTGCGTTTAGTCGGCGGTAATCCCCACACGGCCTAATGTCACCATTCTTTTTCACCACTACATGTAAGGGACTTGCCCAGGCGCTCTTTGAAGGACGGCAGATACCCAATTCTTGCATTTTCTGAAATTCGGCTTTAACAAGCTTATATCGGGCGGGTGGTAGTGGTCTTGCCCGAGCAAATACCGGCGGTCCGGTAGTTTCAATAAAATGCTGCACAAGTAGGTTTACTTTCCGTGAATGACATAGGTTTGGTAATGCTCGGAAATTTCAATAAAAGGTTATGATACGGATGATCAATGTTAACGGAAAATACAGAAGGTTCACACATGGTAACTACTGATGCTACAACATTCATATCTGTCACCTGGTCTATGAGTTTTCGTGCACTGACATCAACCAGAAGCTTATGGTGGCTTAAAAAATCTGCGCCCAAGATTGGTTGTTTGACGTCAGCGATTACGAAATCCCATCGATAAGGTCTACGTAATTTAAAATTTAAAATCAATGACTTTACCCCATACGTTTTGATTTCTGTTCCGTTAGCTGCAAACAATTTATATTCACTGCACTCCCGAGCACTTTGTTTTTTATTCACTGGTAAAACCGATACATTAGCGCCTGTATCAACTAAGAAATATAGTCCGCTGTTATTATCTAATAATCGGAGGCGGTGACAAGGTGAGATGGCACAGAGCTCCGCCGTTGTCTGCGCCTGCTCTAGTTTTCCTTGGCTTTCCATGCACAAGGTGCTTCGCATTTGTTCGCCCTGGCGCGGAAGCGATTGTGATAAAAGCAAAGCCAATCTGGGCTTTCGGGCGTCCGGCGCTGGTTAGAAGGGTTACGGCTGCGATTTCGGGATGCGGATCTCGAACGGTAATTGCTGTTCCAACGCCTTTTGAACCGCGGCCTTGATCTTTCCAATTCGGCGACCTTGAAACTCAGCTTCGCTATTTCGGCCATGATTAACTCCGTATCCTTTGAAGTCGAGGGCTGCTGTTGTTGCTGCACTACTTCATTAACAACGTGTGTGGCCCGTGTGGTCTCGAATATGTTGTCGGCGATCGTCGATAAGTTATCCAACGATTTGGTGTCAGAAACCGCTAAAACTGCTCGGATCGAGCTCGGCAAATGACCTTGCCATAAAATACGGAGAGTGTCATCCGGGATTTTGTCTTTGGCCAACTCTCTCATACGCCGTAGAAGTTGCGACGGCTTCTGATCTCCTAACTCCATTTCACTTATTAACTTTTGTAGCTGTCTATTTTTGGACTCTTCGTATATTGTAAGTAAGCGTGCTTTTAATGCGTCGAATTTCTTTGTGGCTGGCGGCTCTACCAAAATATCTGTCACTTGTGTGATTGCCTCTTTACTCAGCTTTGAGACCACTATATCAAATCTTGCGTCGTCCGACAGCTTCTGCGGTGCCAGCATCGCCTCTGTTCTAATAAACCAGACCCTAGGTTGGTCCGTCCAAAAATCCGGGATCTTCGAGGTTAGAGTGATCGCAGCTAATTCGGATGCCGGCGTAGGAGGAGCGACAGCCATGTTGTCTGATGCTGATGGTTGCACACTCACAGTTTACTATTCTTGATCACGTCGGGGTCACCACTTTAGGTATGTGACTCATAAATTAAACGACGGACAATATTAGATGTTATTTATTGTGTTCACTATAACTGTCGCGTAACGAGTGGCACTTCTCGCTGACGCGCATACATTATATTATACTTATCATGACCCTACACGTTCCTTTGTAATGACGGTTTGTAAGACTTAGTAAACTTAATCTCTTAAAGATATCTGCTACAAAATTTTATAAGATTCTACATCACACAGAGACATACAATGCAAATTATATAAAGGCTTCTAAAATCATCATCTATCAATCGGGTACAGTATTTAAACCCAACCACTAACTCAATATTTAAAACTATGAAATTGTCCACTATAAATTATACATTGGATAATATATCACGCGATAAATCTCATCAGCATTCAGGTCGGCGAGCGACGTATAAATCACAAAAGTAACCGCGGATATATCATAACATTGATACATCGTGTGTATTGGTACAAATTAAATTGAGGTCGGATTCCATTTTGTAAATTTTAGTGTAGGCTTTTAGATTTGTTACTAGATAAACTTTTGATTGGTAATTAAATACTTTGTTTCTAATGTAGACAATCTAGTTTCTTTATGGCATCGAGCATTTATTTCTTTATTAAAACAAAGAGTTTACTTTTTTCTGGTATTTTTTTTAAGGGGGGAAAATCATCGAATGACTGCTCCCGCCTGAGTGAGGCGGGAGGGAGTGTCAGACTCTTACTGACTAAAAAATACCCCGTTCCTTCCCCTGCACATCGCGTCGGAGCCCCGGTAAACCGTTAGGTTCTCCGCGACATTTTTTCTTGTATAGAAGCACTATTTTTATGGATTGTCAGTATGCATATGTGAGCACCATGTTAGACTATAAGATTTTTTTTGTTTTGTTTTTATTTTAGTAAGTTTTCTAATTTATATAATCCCGTCAAGCGTCTCTTTATAATTGTTCTCACATATGCGTACAATACTGAAAAATGTATCAGTGAGATTCTGAGTTTCTTGCTCGTTCTTCTCCATTCGAGTCTACATTTTGGAACGAGCACTTAGCTTCACTGACGGACAGATCATCTGCTCTAGCCGAAGCATCTTGCATCCCTGGCCCACTCTCGACTTAATAAGCATTATTATTATAATTCTAACAAAGCATACAACTATAACTGGTGAAAAGTTATTAAACAAAATAAAACTCTATATTCAAAAAACCGACCACATAAATCTAAAATTACAAATATTTAGGGAATAGAGAGTATAGTTCCCTAAGATTGGAAAAGGAGGATCCTCCGACCAGGCGAGGTGATCGTGCCTGGCGGGCTTTCTGCCCAACATTTGTTCGTTGGGATTTTCTCTCCGTGTTAAATCGAATGTAAACTTCGCATGTGCGATGTAGGATTTTATGACGTCATCCGTTGACTTTTGTCGCCACAAATACAAACCCATTGTTAGAAGCAACCCATAGTTTAGCAATCAATGCCCGAAATCCTAAACCTCCTTTTTGGAAAGTCGTTTGAAAAGTGTGGCTTTTACATACATACTCCTTGTAGTAGTACCGGGCAACGAATAAACAGCAGCTAATCATCCAACCACTCCACCTGTGCAGTCAAATTAGGTTACACAAACAAGAGAAAAATCCTCACCTACTTGCTAGAGAACTATGAACCGTATAATGATACAGTTAGAACAGGTTATGTAATGGCTACTTTGCATGAAACGTGGAACAGAACGACCACAATGTGGTCGCATTGCATACCCTGACTTGTATGAGCAGGTTAATGGAGAACCACAGAGGTATTAGATTATATAATACGACGAATGTATCCTACTAATCCTTACTATTATAAATGGGAATGTGAGTTTGTTTGTTTGTTTGTTTGTTACGCTTTCACGTCGTAACTACTAAACCGATTGCTTTTGCAGACGTAAAGTTAGAAGTCCGGATTAAATAATATGGTACTTTTTATCCCGGAAAAAATTGATATTCCCGAGGAAAAACAAAAGTATTGGTATAGATGGCGCTGTGTGTATTGGTATATGTCACATAGGTTACTTTTTATCCTTTTGTGACGCGAGCGAAGCCGCGAGTAAAACCTAGTATTATATAAAGTTTGTGTGTCTGTTTGTTTGTTATTGCTTCACGTAGAAAGGATCAGGCTGAAAGGATCACGATGAAATTTGGAACATTATGGGTAGATTATGGTTTAGAATAACACATAGGCTGGTTTTTATCCCACAGGATCGCGGGTGAACTCGCTGGCAGAACCTAGTAAAACATAGGTAATTGTTACACCGAGAACAGAAAAGAAACGCAGTTTTCCTGTAACTCTATCTGAGAGACCTCTTTCATCAAAAATGTCTCTCCGGGAAATCGCAGGAAATTTTGAATTTATATCTTTCCATAATTTCTAAGAATGATTTCTACATCAAGATGGGTTTTACATCATTTTGGTATGCATTAGCTATGTTATATTTTGGTGTATCGAGTCATCTGATTCAAATGATTATTAATTCTAGATGCTGGATAGAAGAAAGCTTGGGAGACAGGAAGAATGTGCTCAAAAAAAGTTGGCAGAAAATTAAATAAATCTGTGTGACGATAGAACTCGTTATAGAAGAAAGTAGCTAACAAAAGGCACATCTGATTACCTAAAGGAAACTAATAGTAAACGCTGATGACCTACATAATATTAACACCAACAACATCCCATACAAAATTATTAACAAAACATAATGAATATAAGTAAGTCTTGTGGGTCGAATTGCCACGATAGTTGGTAAGTTAATACTCACCCACCACATCAGTACCAGACCTCTATAATTTATTCTCCACGCCAGGAATTATGCGAACCCAGGAATTAAAATTTAATTTCCCCCAAACTACCGACTCGGGTAAGCTTCAAAAAGGGGTAGGCAGACTGCAGGGTTAATTAATTGGTAGTGTTACATGGTTACGATGGCTTAATCGGCAATTTCACTTTCGCTTACTATGAATTAATAATTATTGGTATTGGAGAATTGTAAGCTGATATTTTAAGGGGTTCAGTGAAGGCTTAATTGTATTGTAACTTAAGCTTAGGGTTGGGATTGTGGTCATAGGTCATTTTCGATAAGTTTCTTATCGTCTTATTCCAACTGAAGATAAGGACTTCGTAGGAAATTGATTGACTTGACTCCTATTGATCACAGCGTTATATTTTATAGCCTTTCTCAATAATTGGACTATCGAAAACAAAAAGGATTCAATTTCAACCGGTAGTCCCGGAGATGGGGTCGTTCTAACAAACAAAGAAACTATTCGGCTTAACAAAATAAAAGAAGAAGACTACATCGTAAAAAATAAATAAATATAAAGATCTTTCCGGCTCCATACATTTTTGGGCCTTTAGTAAAAGTGCTGGCCAACGAAAGAAAATGGTACGTATCGTTAGTACTAGCCATTTGGAGCAATAGTTAATATGGCGTAAAAATTGTAGGATCCATGATGAAGAAGTTATACCAGTTAGAAGATTCATCATTGTCATACATTTATTGCTTCCTAAAGGTGCTAGGAAACGCAAAATAATGATCGATATTGCTAGAATAAAGAATCTGAAGCAATTGTAATGATAATAAGTCCTCTTTTAAATTAGAATATCTTCAACTGACTCCTTTCGTCCCGGGGACAGATGGGAGTGCCAGAGCCGCGGTACCTATAGGACGATCTACCTCGACCTCAGACAGCTGTAGTCTTGTAATTATCATTAAATGTTACGATTTTACCTTCTGGACTTTCAGAAAAGGCTCAAATAATGATATCCTTTATATACGTCTAGATTTAAAGTTTAAAAGCAGCATCGTCTTTCTTAGTTTCGGAGACGGAATACAAAATGTTTAGTGTGGTGTTGTTATAAGTTAACCCATATATTTTAACTTAAACTTTTCACGATGCATTCAGTGTAAGTATTTCAAACACTTTTATATCCTGACTTAAATGAGAGGAGTTTTTTTAAGTTAAGTATAAAACAAAACAAAATGGTTGATGTTATATAGGTAATTATAGGAATTATAAATATAATTATTATTTTGCGATTATTTTGTTTTAAGAACGTAGGTAAAGATGTTAAAAACACTTTCCTTATAAATGTGTGTCTATTAATTATAAATTTTAAGTAAGTACTTACTTCAACTTTTTAATGAGATAGACAGATCACTTGATGGTAAGCAATCGGCGTCGCCCATGGACATCTGGAACACCAGAGGCGTTACAAGTGCGTTACCGGCCTTGGATTGAATTGTTTTTTTTTTTTTAAAGAAACGTTGCCCCACACTAGGATTATCTCCTGTGTCGTGGGTGCGTTTACAAACATACAAGTTCACATACACATGGCACCCAGACCCGAAACAACAATTTGTGGATCACACAAAGTGTTGTTCCGTGCGGGAATCGAACCCGCGACACGTTGCACGGCAGCCGGTTGCCCAGTCACCGCACCAACCGTGCAGTCAAAGTCAATTTGAGGATTGTTGGGAAATCAGGGATTGGGGAGATTTTTATTGAGACCAAGGAAACCTCGCTCATACGACGAAACACAACACAAGCGTTGGTTTACTTCGGTTTTCAGCTCGGCAGTGGTATCACTCCGGTCGAGCCGGCCCATTCGTGCCGAAGCATGACTCTCCAACACTCCCGCGTCCGTTACATGTTTTATCCACCGACTTCCGCGTTGTTCCTTATCCATGATCTTTAAAACTAAGTTATACCTACCAACAAAAATTAAGTAACAACACCCCAATGCAAAACAAACTGAAACAACAGGAAATATGAAACAATTCCCATTAAATTAATACACAAGCACCTTTATAAGTAGAGGCACAAAAACAAAAGGCCCATCAACAAATATTGGAATACAGCCTCCAGTATTAAACAGTTTTGAAAACGAAACAATGTACCTAATTACCTCTAAATACTTTAAATGTTCACTTAAATTGATCAGGAACTGAAACCATTATATTTTCAGCTGGTTTTTAGCGAGAACAAAGGTTTTAGTAACAATACTAATTAGACTCAACCTGTAGATGTAAGAACATCCAGGTAGTTTGTGTGCTCATCTGCTCATTACACTTCACTCGTACACGGATTAAATAGTTCACAGAGGCTTAAGTTGGCATCATTGGTCGTACCTTGACAGTCGGTTGCTGTGTAATAATTCGCTCTTATTCCTGTATGATATAAGTAATGGTTCCGGCTTAGGGCGTAATGTAATATTTAATTTTATGTTGGTTAACGCAAATCAAGATTACGAAGCAAATGAAACAAAACAATGAAGTTTGTGCGATAATTGCTTTTTAAAGAACGACTTTAAAAAACTAACAATATAATTTGTTGTGTAATTGGCTCATGTATCTAAAAATACAACTTTGTTAGAGGTTTATTTTGTGCTTCAGTGCAACATCAATGGGGTTCTTTAAGAAAGGAGTAAATAAGTTTATAGGTTTTTCGAGGGTCGGCAAGACACATGTAATGCTCCAAGTGTTGCAGGCGTACATAGGCCACGGTAACCGCTTACCATCAGGTGGGCCGTGTGAGTTTTGCCACCGTTGTAATATAAAAAATATGCTCTTGTAAAATTATGTCTTTAAATGCAACCATGTGAACTCCATTTACTATCGTCTCCGAGTATTTTGAGGAACCCGACCCTCTGAGTACATATTTGTGTTGGAAACCTAGAACACCTGAACCAACATATTCACTAACCTGTTCAAATACAGGTTTCCTGTGTCTTGATTTCAGTTAGGATTCCTAAGATTAGGTAAAACTAATATAGTAGACAGGGGAAGCAAAATAAGTTTTAGAAAAGTACCCTATTGGTCAATAACTCATTTATAAACTACCGTCTCTTTTTTGAAGTCCGGTCATAAATATACTAAAACCATATCCTGTAGCCATCAGACCACCACAGATGGGGCCCAATAGGGCCGATGCCGATTCGGAGTCGCGGAGAACCTAACGGGTAACCGGGGCTCCGGCTCGACGTGCAGGAGAAGGAACGGGGTGGTTTTTAGTCAGTAAGACTCTGACACTCCCTTCCTCCTCACCCAGGCGGGAGAAGTCATTCGATGATTTCCCCCCTTTCAAAAAACCATATCCTGTAACAAACACTTTTCTGGAAACTGAATCAAAATCGGTTTAGCCAATTGCAAGATAACCGCTAGTCGAACTGAGGACCTAATTTTTTTGAGGTTACCAATTAACTAAAAATCTTGTTTTTGAATTCTTGATGAAATTTTTCATGTTATGTTATTAGTACGATTGTAAATTATGAAGTTTCAATTGAGCCAAGATATTGGGCCGAGTTAATAAGGTAGATGCCTAATTTTTATTTTAATGTTCGTCTGGTACATTATTTTAAATCATTAAACACGTATTTTTTATTTTCTTAAAGAAACGAATACTTTCGACTATATATTGATTTTATACGTAGAAATGACGTTTTAGCCCCCACTCCTAAAATTGATTCGTTTAATCTAAATTATGAAGTTAAGTTTCAATTGGGCCACGATATTGGGCCGAGTTAATAAGGTAGATGCCTAATTTTTATTTTAATGTTCGTCTGGTAGATTATTTTAAATCATTAAACACGTATTTTTTATTTTCTTAAAGAAACGAATACTTTTGACTATATATTGATTTTATACGTAGAAATGACGTTTTAGCCTCCACTCCTAAAATTGATTCGTTTAATCTAAGTATTGTTTTATTATACGTCAAAATAAAAAAAATACGTGTCTAATATTTTTTCATTACCTAACTTACGGACTAATTGTATTTTTAATTTTCATACCCTGTCATCATCCCTATTGGTGGTACATAGAATTACAGGTATATAGGTAACTTTACCTATTTACGTTTGTAAAACGTCCCTTTTAAAATAAGGATACAAAATTAACATTACTTTAAAAATTTTTGTTTATTTTTTTCGGGGAATAACCAGGCTCAATTTTAAGTTTTAGTCATTACTAGTTGTGGAACCCTAAATTGCCCTCAGGTCCGGGCAAAGGTTTAAGTAAATCCTTGAAATGGTCCGCAATAAACATAGCTCTCTTTAGTTTAGTATCGACGCTTCTGGACTGTTTTAGAAAATTCAATTACCACAGAGTAGAGGAACGCAGTAGGTAGGTAATTTAAAATGCGACGTAAACGTGGAAATAATATAAAGTTAATGTATTTTATATGCAGATAAGAAAATAAAGATTGATTGGTAATTGACTTGAATTGACTGCACGGTTGGTGCGGTGGCTGTGCAACCGGCTGCCGTGCAACGTGTCGCGGGTTCGATTCCCGTACGGAACAGCACTTTGTGTGATCCACAAATTGTTGTTTCGGGTCTGGGTGTGATGTGTAGGTGAAATTGTATGTTTGTAAACGCACCCACGACACAGGACAAAATCCTAGTGTGGGACAACGTTATTCTTTTGTGCTTTTTAACGTGATCTTAAAGAAATTCTCAGTAGTAGCACGGTGTCTGGAATTGTGCCCAGTTTATGGTAATAGGCTCACCCTCTATTACATGGGACTCGTAACATATATAGTAAAAAGTGGGTGTTACGTTGCACAGTGGCATTAAATGCCGTTATGTGCGCCTCTGCCTACCCATTCGGGAATAAAAGGCGTGATGTTATGTATGTTATATGTATGTGTTTTTATCATTGATTAATTCAACAGCAAACTAATTGTTATAAACAAACAATCATGTTTAAGTTTTGAAAAAAGTCTATATAAAGAAAGAAAGAAAGAAGGAAAGAAAAACCATTTATTTTGCTACGACAAATATGTGAGGCATACGCACTGGCAACGCACCTGTGACATTTCTGGTATTGCGGGTGTATATGGGCGGCGCTGATCGCTTACCATCAGGTGATAAGTCAGCTCATTTGCCTCCTATTCCATAAATAAATACTGTTTTTTTTTACATCTGCTGTTGATCTTCTGCATTTATTTATGATTTGGTAAGATATAAAATATTAAAAGGATTTACGTAAACTAGTACTAGTGAATTTTCTATGCTAAGCTAGATCTGCAGACGGGTCCGATTTCCCAAAGCCCCCACGCTACATTTTGAAAATATTATTGAGGAACATAATAATTTTATAGGTAAGTACCTACATGAAACTTTTGAAAGACATACCTTGGTTTGGATTGACCATTACATTCATTAGTAGTGTATGCGTTGGTTTTATGGTCATTTTATTTAAAAGACGGTTTACAGCCTAACGACTGCATCGTTGGCCGAGTGGTCGCAAGTGCGACTGCCGGGCAAGGGGTCTCGGGTTCGATTCCCGGGTCGGGCAAAGTATTACTGGGTTTTTAAAAATTATCAGCAGTAGCACGGAGTCTGGAATTCTGCCCAGTATATGGCAATACGCTCACCCCCTATTATATGGGACTCATAACATAAATAGTGAAAAGTGGGTGTTACATTGTACAGTGGTATAATGTGCACCTCTGCCTACCCCTTCGGGGATAAAAGGCGTGATGTTATGTTATGTTACGGTTTACAGGTAACCTCATTCACATAAAACACAAGCGTTGGTATCACTCCGGTAGAGCCGGCCCATTCGTGCCGAAGCATGGCTCTCTCATGTATAAACAAACATTCGATAACATATACAATTTGAAGGCTTTATTTTAGTTATCTGATAGGACAATTTCTAGGGATAAGGAGAGTCTGTTTTTCCTCCTATTCTCCGTTTCCTAGGACCAGATAAACACGACGTAACTAGAAAACTTTTACAGTAGCATTTCTAGAAAGATTTAGTTTCTGTGTAACTGGAAAAGTAAAAAAAATAAAGGTATCATTAAGGAAACATAATATATTGTACGCCAACATCCACAAAGGTGTAGACACACTATATGGAAGACCTGGATTTTGCTTGTTGCTTTATTAAGGTTAATTTATACTACTATAGGTAGCAACGACACATGTGTAAGTACAGCGGCCAGCAGATAAACCTATCCTATTCTGTCTTTATTCATTGGATTTTCGACTTTATGTCAATACAATAAAATTGAAGATGTAATGGAGAAATTTGACAGAAAGAGATTGGTTGCATTGCTGGCCACGGTACCCATGGCCCGCTTGATAGTAAGCCATCGTCGTAGCAGCAGTACAATCCAGTAAGCGGTGGCAGAATGGAGGCGGAATTTTTAAAACTCAAGTAACCGCAGTTTTCTGCGATGCCGCAGTCGCCGCTGTTGCAATTATCGCCCGCAAATTTTGCGGCTACAAAGGCTTCGGACCCAAGACCGTAGAAGGCCCTGTAGAAAATCGCGCTGAGAATCCTTAGCGCCGGTTTCACCACCTCCATATAAGTACCTGTTAAACTTATGTGACTGATAGTTCATACAAATTACATTCTTAATTCGAATATATCTGGTAGATAGCGGCTATCCACATATTGTGATACAGGCCCTTAGCCTAATTCTTAATTTAAACTGTCAAACACCAAGCGGTCACCGGTGATCGCAACCTATTGTTCTTTAATTGTGTCTATAATGACGGTACTCAAAGGGTTAAATCTTGGCGTACCTACGTCTAGATTTCTGGATATTTTATTGTTTTAATTTGGAGTTTAAAGTACTGATTCGCTTACGGAGTTCACTGACCCTCTCCTAGCAAATTACCCGTATGTAGAAGCAGATTATATTAGTCCAATAGTGGACTAGTTATTACGAGCTGTTGTTGTTTTT